GAGAGCTTTCTCAATGTTCCCGCTCTCAAGGGCAAGGTTGAAGCGGGTCCGTTCGTCCTTGACGAAATAGAGGGCGACCTGTGGGAAGCCCTTCTGCTGAAGGTAAGCAATCATAGCCTGGCCGCAGAGCTCTGAGTTTTTTATCATGCTCATGACCTGATCATACCTCTTCTTCAATAAGGATAGCTTGAAGACATATTCAGTGGGGTCGATGATGATGGGACGGTTCTTCCCATCTCGGTCCAAACAAAAGATTGTGCTTCCGTATATCTTGGTTATGTACACTGGAACATCCAGTGTCTTGATAATCCCACTGTCTCCATTGGGAAGGCAATACTTGATGTGAGTGAGGGTTGTGTAAATGAAGACGCCATTATCATGCCAGCCTCCGCTTTTGACACGGATAGTCTCGTGAAGGGTGCAACGGTGGGCCAGTTTCTTATCAGCAATGATAATCGAGTGTTTGCTCAGCAAGGCAACACTCTCCATATCGTGGGACCATACCACATACCGAACAAAAGATGTCTGCAGCTCCCCGAGGACAATCCTCTGCTGGAGATCAAAGATGACAACCCTGTCCTCGGACCTGCACAGCAGGTTCCCAGTGCCCGCGTAGAATATGGCATCGGTACCGTTAGGAAGAGGACTCTTTTTCACTATTTCATTTTTCAGGTTCTTGACCAGTACATTGTTGGTGCTCTTCTCTAGCACGGCAAACCTGTTTCGAGCAATAAACACTGCTGAGGTCCCAATGCCTCTTCTTGCATCCTGAACCGTGTCGCCTCTGCCATAACTATCTTTGGGGATTATGTAGAGCTCATAAGTTCCCCCATCAGTGTCCGAGCATATCAAGACCGCATTCTCTGTAGGACTGTAGGAGAGAGATCGTGGCCCTTGATTCAAGCTATTAGAACCAGGACGACGGATGGGTATAAGCTGAATGTCTTTCTGGGAAGAATACTCAAATGCACGGAGGAACCTATCCTTGACATAGAAGAGGGAATCGCCACTAACATAAAAGGCAGGGCGCTCTCTCTCCAGCTTGAAAACAATCATGCCACTATCATGACCGGCAGCAAGAATATTCATTTCAGGATGAGCTGCAAGGATCCAGAACCTGTCGTGCTCCCTACGGAAAGTTTGGAGACCGGTTCTTTTTGTGGCATCCCAGACACGGATGCTCTTGTCTTCCGAGTTTGAGACAATTATGTCCTGTCTCGCATGGAACAGAACACACGACACGTTGTTCATGTGGCCTCTCAGAGTGTCCACCTCCCAAGCCTTCGTATCTGACAAATATAAAAAACACAGAATTAGCTATTCACTTAGATTACCTATATCGAGACGCACATCATGTATAATATACGTATTTGATAGATGGAAGTTCCTAGGGACAGTTCTAAGCACACATGGAATTAACACCTGTCCGAAATAGAAAAATTCATAACTTTGCCAAGAATTACTTGACCGAAAATAAGAAAAGCTTGAGAATAAACCAGCACCCCATCCTACAACCCCAAAAAGGAAACAAATGAAAGCGACACTAGCTTACTCCTTCCTGTGTTTCTCATCAAATTGATATAATGTAATCACTTTCCAGAAAATCTGTAATGCAAGCTAATATAGAATCTAACAATCCCACTCGTTCTGCTAATATGCTGCCAAATAAACAAAATATTCCATACCATTCATGCGCCAGATTTTAACTTGTCGGTCATCTGCTCCAGAAACAATCAAAGGGAGAGTTGGATGGAAAGAAGCCCAGTTAACACCTCTATCATGGCCTTCCAGTACATACTTAACAACAGCATCAACCCCACCAAAGAAGTCTGTGTTCATTTGAGGCAATCGCAGAATGTCATCAGCAGGGGATACTGTTTTCTTTCTCAAAGCACCAATATCCCAAACACGCACAGTCTGATCCAAAGAGGCAGAAACAACAAGGTCTTCTTTGGGGTGAAATGAGGCACACATAACATAATGGTTGTGTCCAGTAAGCACAGAAATGCAAGTACGAGATTGCCAGTTCCATATTC